GGGGTTTCAAGCTCCACTGGTTGTTCCCAGTCCACCAGAGGGTTCCCAGCCTCCCCAGGGCATATCCCAGCCCCCCGGGATTTCCTAACCCCCACAGAGGGTTCTCAGACCCCCCCGCCAGGGTGTTCCCAGCACCTCCCCAGGGGTTTTGAGCCCCCCGGGGGGTTCCCCAGCCCGTTGCAGAGTGCTGCCTGGCGGTCACGTCACCTTTTCAGACCACTGGTGTGGTTTTACGTGGTTTGTGGGTACAAAGTGGAAGCTTGGTCCTGAGTAAATGGTGTCCCCGGGCTGGTTCCTGACTCCAGTTATGAATGAAATATCGCAGAGAACTCCTCTGGTTAAGACTGGATTTAGCGAAGGTACTAAAAATGTTAGCACCTCAGTGGTTTCCTCGTTAATTCTCCAGAAGGTCACTGTTTCACTAAGCGTTTGTTGGCGCGGGAAAGCAAAGGGACCTTTGGGGGGGCGGTGTCTGCCCAGCAGGGCTCCTCTGGAGCTTTGCAGGACACAAGCGTGAGTTTTTTCACGTGTGTGCGGAGGGCTCTGTGCCGATACGGAGTTGGTGTGATGTGAAACTGGCAGTTTCATGCAATCGGAGTGACCAAATTGTCAAATTTGGGGGGGAAATTAAAACAAGGCAGCAGCTTGCAGGCCTTCAGAGAGCACGTTGCTCATCGGGCTGGGAAGCCGAGCCCGCGTGGAGTTGTCGGGAAGCAGCTGCCTACTGAATTCGTGGACGGAGTGACGCGTTGTCAGCGCTGCCATCGTGAATTTGGGCGCCTCTTAGGATACCTGGTGAAACCTTTCGTCCCTGGGAGGCCCAGGGGTGGTAACGTGGCTGTTGAAGGAGGTGGTGGGAACTGCTCAGCTGGTGGAGGAACTGGGAAGCCTGACGAGGACCTGATTAAACAGAAGGAGAACGCCAGGGGAGCAGAGGCAGTGGTCCCCGCTGGAGCAGGGGAACGGCAAAAAACCTTCCCAGGAGTGGGACCAGCTGAGTTCTGTTCATTCAAAACCCAGAGGGTGAAATTCCTTCTTTGCCTTGGCTTCTCTTCCCTTTCTCACTCCCTTCTCGCTGCATTTGTGTGCACGGTCGTCCGTCCTGTCACACCTGAAAGCCCCTGGTAAGCACGGGAGTCGATTTTGTATCGTGGTGGCGCCTGATGTGAGGCAGAAACTCGGGTACCAGCCACCCCCGTGGCAGGGGAGTGTCCCGACTGCCAATGTCCTTCCCACATTTTTCCTCCAGTGACTGGTTTATGCAAAATGGAACTGGTCTGGCTGGGGTAGCTACACGTTTTCTCTGGGTTATCCATAGTCTTGTTGGTCAGTGCACTTACTGAAATCACACAGAATCTCTTTGGTTGGAAAAGGCCTTCAAGATCGTCGAGTCCAACCCTTAACCCAGCACTGCCAGGTCACCTCTGAGCTGTGTCCTTGAGCCCCACAGCTACATGTCGTTTAAATTCCGGCAGAGATGGGGAGCCCACCCCTGCCCTGGGCACATCTGTATTTGCTGCCGAGCTCTAGACGAGACCAAGCCATCAGACATCCCGCAGCGCAGCTCTGTGCCTGGGGGGCTATTGGGTAGAAACTGAGAGGGGAAAAGAAAAATCAGATTTTTTGAACTGGAGGGTGCCAGTACTGGAGAAGCGGGGCTCCGGGATGGCGATGACAGCCAGATTTTGTCCTGCAGGGGTTACTACATCCGTGCCCGTGCTGTGGATCACTGCGTTCAG